TATATAGGCTACTCAGTAATGCCTCGAACTTGTGTGAATAAAGCAGATAATTTCTGCTAAATCTGCGGTGAAATAACTTTTATCTCACAAAAAAGGAGGATAACAGGAATGATTAAGAAAGCCTACAACTTGTATTTTGGCTGCAAGATAGGAGACCAGGACAAGAGCTGGGCAACACATATATGCTGCAATTCTTGTGGGACGGCACTGGAGCAATGGTTGAATGGAAAAAAGGCATCTATGCCTTTCGCTGTGCCAATGATTTGGAGAGAGCCAACAGATCATGTTAGTAATTGTTACTTTTGTATGGTGCCTCCAATTGTAAAAGGGCTAAATAAGAAGAAAAAGTTATCTGTGCACTATCCAAATATTCCATCGGCAATACGTCCAGTTCCTCATGGAGAGGGGCTACCAATTCCTAAAGCACCAGAATCCTTCGTGGTTGAGTCAAGTGAGGAAGAACCTGAAGCGTGTAGTCACGTGCAGTTGTAAGAGATAGCCCTTTCCTCGAATACAAGAGAAAAGCCAAGAGAAGCAAAACCGACACAAACTGAAGACAAAACTAGTGAGAATCCTAAGTATTAAAATGATTCAACTTAGCTTATGGCTATAATTTTTCTTGGTAATCCTATGCAATATATTATGCCATTTAGGCTTTGTTATGTAGTCAATATCACTTGCTTTATATTTGTGGAAAGACATCTATCTATATAATTATTGTGCATTATGCAGTCATTACGCCTATAGTAGAAAACTTTCCGTTTACAGAAAAACTAGAGCCAATTGACAAATTTCATTGTTATATTTGAACTCAGAATGTGAAATTCACTAAGAAATGGATCCTTTTGTTTCCAAACCTGGCAAAAAATAAAAATTTGTTGAACAGTGTAATATATAAATCCTGTATAATAATAATAATATATAAATCCTGTATAATAATAATAATATATAAATCCTGTATAATAATAATAATATATAAATCCTGTATAATAATAATAATATATAAATCCTGTATAATAACAATATATAAATCCTGTATAATAATAATAATAATAATAATATATAAATCCTGTATAATAATAATAATAATAATAGCCTAGTTGATTATATATAAATTGTATGCTTTCAGTCAGTTGATGTGCTATAGATACATGTAAAGAACATTTACAGATACTATAGAATTACACTGCAATGTGCATGGCCAGGAAAACATGCACATGGTACGACTTCCAATTGTGACTACAATTGGCCCCTTTCAATAAACATTGGACAGGCATGGTCCACAGTTGTCACTCCAAACAGTTAAATACACTGGTGATATTCTTGTATGCGAACAGACTACCTGCCAGAAGGCTTTGCATTTCTGCTTATTCCAGTCCTGAGATTTACACAGCTCTGCCAAACAGCAAGGCTCTGCCTGGCTGGAGCTGAGATCTGATATTTCAGGTCTGCTCAAGTGAATTTACTGGTCCACTCTCAACCTGTGACTGAACAGTGAAAGAAGAAGCGGCACAGAAATGGGATAATTTGTTTGTCACTCTACTCTCTCCTTCTGGCTTCTCCATTGGAAGCCCATATGACAGGGTGACAACACCAGAGCAAAACCAAAAGACAGGGACACGTGTTGTCACCCTATAACAGGAAGTGTCTAACACTTTTGGGGGGGGGGGGTGTCGATTAACACATACTCCCAATGGCTGCGGCGAGCAGGAGTTTGGGTATACTCCACAAGCTGATTGTTGGCTCTCTGGTGAAAGCAATCCAGAGGTTCTACAGCCACCCAATTGCTCTCTGTGACTCTTGGCACTTTGCCCCTTTGCCATGCTTCCTGGACTCCACTATCCCACCTGTGGGCCTAGGACTAGTGGGAGCCACTGGGTGGAGGGGAGTGAGACCAGCAAACTTCTGTTCACCGATCTCCTTTGGCTGTAAAGAATCTGGAAACGGCATGTATAGAGAGTTATTTACTAAACCTGAAGCGTGCAAAATCTGCTGCAATTCTGCATAGGAACCAATCAGCTTCCAGGTTTAATTGCTAAAGCTTAATTGAACAAGCTGAAGTTAGAAGCTGATTAGTTACCTAGCAAAGCTCCACCAGGTTCTGAGTGCTCCAGTTTTAATAAATTCCCCCTATAAACTTCCAGTTCCTGGTGTCACTTTCCCTTTCTGCTGTGGCCACGGAAGAAGCTAATGGAGCACAATCTGCAATCCATTAGCTTCAATGGAAGGTCGATGAGACATCAGGTTTCTTTTAGATCCCTGGTGTCTCAAGAGAACCTCTCACCTATAAAAATGTCACTTGAGCTCTGCATGTTACACTGCTCACGCCAAAGCAAGAGCAATAATTCTGGGGCCATTAATAACCGTTATTATTATTATTATTATACAGTATTTATATAGCGCCAAAAGGTTTGCTCAGCTCTGTGCATTAGAGTGGGGGACAGTACATGAGACAGTACAGTAACAAAACAATACATGAGGGGTTCAAGGGCCCTGCTCTTTCGAGCTTACAATCTAGGAGGGAGGGGATAGTGGCACAGGAGGAAGTGGCTGTGGGGGATGGAGTGGTGGGAGGAGTGGAGGAGATCGGCAGTTAGGTGAGGGTGGGGTAGGCATCCCTGAAGAGATGGGTTTTCAGGGTGTGCTCAAAGGTGAGGAAGGTAGGTGACAGTCTGATGGATTCTGATGGATTGGGGTAGTGAGTTCCAGAGGATGGGGGAAGTCCTGGAGAAGTCCTGCAGTTTAATCTAAAATCATGACCTGTAGGGCTTTTGAAGCGTTGCTTATGGAAAATATAGGGCCCCCGTCGCTTTGTGGGTACATGCTATTTTAAACCTTGACTTGGTAGATATCTAAGTGGCCCAACCTCACCTTTTAAATTTCACCAAAAAATTAGGTAATACAGTATTTTGCGTTTGTACTCTAAAATGAACTTTTACTGAAAATAAACCGTCGCGCAAATATCGTGTGATGTAATCACTACTATTTTATTCCCCAGGGCATCTGCTTTCAGAAAATATATACTTTTTGGGGTTTTGAACTAATTTTTAATCATAAAATTATTGTTCAAACATGTGTCCAAAATAATGCAAAAATGTATCTGGCAGCAAAAGGGTAAAGTGTATTCCCACTTTTGAAGCCAAACTGGAATGACAGACACTTTATATTTGTTATATGTTCCCATTTGCATAGTATAACTTTAAAAAAAATATTTAAAAGTTGCTAATTACCTTTTTAAGTGCTTTTTACTTGCTTGAACACTTGCCAACCACGCTATAGCTGAATGACGGCTACGGCACAGTCAGCTAGTTCTGGGAGGCTCTCTATTGACGTTCTCCCAGAACCCCCCCTGTGAGCCCCTGGGATGTGCATTGGGAATGCTCTGTGATCGCTGTGTCCTTTTGGACACAGCTGATCACAGAGTGAGGTAAAGGGCCAATCACATCACCCTGTACCATGTGATCGGCTGTGTCCAATCTCAACTGATCGCATGAAAAGAGACTTGACGGTTGTTGTCAGTCTTTGCTCATGCATTTTGACAGCATGAGAAAGGAAAACTGGTACCTGCCAATTCTCACAGGCACATTTACACTGATAACCAGGGTGCTCATCATCAGTGCCTTGATTATCAGTGCAGCCCCTCCAGTGCCCATCAGTGCAATCCATCAGTGCCCATCAGTGCAGATCAGTGCCACCTAACAGTGCCCATCAGTGAAGCCTATTAGTGCTCATAGGTGCCACCGATCACTGCCTATCAGTGCTGTCTATCAGTGCCACCCATCAGTGCCTCCTCATCAGTACCAATTGGTGTCGCCTATCAGTGCCCATCAGTGCCACCCATCAGTGCCTCCTCATCAGTACCCATTGGTGCAGTCTATTAGTGCCCATCAGTGTCACCTCGTCAATGCCCATCATTGCCGCATTATCAGTGCCCATCAATGCAGCCTATCAGTGCCCATCAGTGCGGCCTCACCAGTGCCCATCAATGCAGCATATCAGTGCTGCCTCATCAGTGCCAATCAGTGCAGCCTCATCAGTGAAAAAGAAAAAATAACTTATTTGCAAATTTTTTTTTATTAAATGCCACCAAAGAATGCTCTATCTAAAAAAAACAATAAAAGTATCTTTTGGGTACTGTGGCCCATCAATGCAGCCTATCAGTGCCCATCAGTGCAGCCTATCAGTGCCCATCAGTGAAGAAGAAAAATTACTTATTTGCAAAGTGTTCTAACAGAAATTAGGAAAAAAATAATTTTTTCCAAAATTTTCAATCACCAGTGGTGATTAAATACCAGGGGTGGACTGACCATTTGGAAACTCGGGCACTGCCCAAGGGCCTGGGGTCAATAGGGTCCCCATGAGATGCCCCTGGTACCTTTTTCATAGGCTTTTTTGAGTTAGGGCAAGGACACAGGGGCCCCGTGATCCCCTACTGCCTGGGGGCCCCATGAGTTGTCAGTCTGCCCCTGTTTAATACCACCAAAAGAAAGCTTTATCTATCTAAAAAAAATGCTGAAAATATTTTTTGGGTACAATGGTGCATGGCCGCGCAATTGTCATTCAAAGTGCCACAGCGCTGAAAGCTGAAAATTGGCCAGGACAGGAAGGGGGTGAGAGTGCCCGGTAGGCAAGGGGTTAACTAACATTTACTTTATGTGGTTGGCAAGAAGTTAGGAGAATCGAGCAATAATTTTGCTATAGCTTCAAATCAACTAAAAATATATACTTACTAAAGATTTGTTTTGTTTAGTGAATATGAAGGACAGCACCCCTGTGCCTAGATCATTTCCACAGGCTACTGAAATCTACGGAAAGTCCTGCTGTTACGATGAGCTCCTGCAATCAGACAAGAATCACAGAGTTCGTTCTGTTGGGGATACAAGGTTCTTCGGGTCTTAAATACATACTTTTTGTTATACTCTCAGTCACTTATTTTCGCCATAGCTGGGAACGTTCTAATCATTGTGCTGATTTTGAGAAGTGACAAGCTTCACACTCCCATGTATTTCTTTTTGTGTCATTTATCCTTTTCTGATATCTTACTATCTACAAACGTGGTTCCGTACCTGTTGTGTACGCTATTAGGTAAATGTAAAAACTATGCTGGTGAGTTCTTGCCTTACACAGTACTTTTTTGGTTCCTCTTCAACTGTTTCCTCCTAACGGCAATGTCCTACGATCGATATTTGGCCATCTGTAGACCCTTACATTACAACACTGTAATGGGCATGAAGGTCTGTTTCCACCTCGTTGTTTGGTCTTGGACAGTTGGGTTTCTCCTTAATCTGTCTTCTATTATTCCAATGATCCATATGGAGTTCTGCGGTTGCAATATCATTGATGACCTTTACTGTGACCATGCGCCTCTCCTCCATGCTCCCTGCTCCGACACCTACATCATAGAACTGGAAACCATGATATTTTCCATACCTGTTGTGCTTTTTCCCTTTATGTTTGTGATAATGACTTACATGAGAATTTTCTTTGCTATTTTGAAGATTTCCACCACCTCCGGAAGAAGGAAAGCTTTCTCTACCTGCAGTTCCCACATTATTGTTGTTGCAATATATTATGGAACCTTAATTGCTAAATACACAGCTCCTTCTTCAGGAAGTTTGTTGAATGTAAACAAAGTTATTTCCCTCTTATATACTGCATTTACACCCCTACTGAACCCTGCTGTATACAGTCTACGGAACCGTGATATAAAAGAAGCTATGCGTAAATGCATACATGTTGCATAAACTTATAAAAGGGGAATTTTAATAGTTTTTGGTCAATTTATCTATATTTTAAAAAAATTCTGTGGGTAAACCAAGCATAAAAATGTCTTCTCCAGGTTGAAGTTTCTTGAAATAAAAGTAAAGAAAGAAGGTGCACTGGCCTGGTGCATTACTGTAAGTCTTTGCTTGAAAGAGGATACCATGAAAAGATGTTTTCCACTTTCCCTCTGGAAGATTTACCCTCCTTCCTGACCAGGCCATTGTTTGCTATTTGGAGCTGCGCTATTTCAGCTGATCATGCAACGCTGTGCCCATATGAAATCTATGTCCTTTTTTTCACACAAATAGAGCTTTTTATTGGTGGTATTTGATCATATCTTGTTTTTTTTTTTATTTTTTGCACTATAAACAAAAAAAGACCTAAAATTGTGAAAAAAATTATAATTATATTTCTAATTCTGTTACAAAAAATATCCAATAAGCTCATCATAAATTTAGGACAAAATGTTATTTGCTACATGTGTTTGGTAAAAAAAAAAATCCCAGTAAGTGTATATTAATTTCTTTGTGTGAAAATTATAGCGTCTACAAACTATGGTACAGATACTGGAATTTATGCCATTTTTTGCTATAAGCTCTGTGCTAGTTTAATGGACAATTGCGCGGTCATGCAATGCTGTACATAAATTAAATCTAGGCAATTTTTTTCCCCACAATTATAGCTTTCTTTTGGTGGTATTTGATCAGCTCTGAGTTTTTTTTTTTTTGCGCTATAAACAAAAAAAAGACCAACGTTTTGTATAAAAAAAGCAATATTTTATAATTTCTGTTATAGAAAACATATAATAAACTTAAATGTTGTAGTAAATTTAGGCCAAAATGTATTTTGTTACATGTCTTTCGTAAAAAAAATTGGTTTGTATGAAAGTTATAGCGTCTACAAACTATGGTATAGATACTGGAATTTATGCAGCTTTTACTTTCTGACTACCTATCACGCTGCTTGAGGTGCTAAAATACCAGGGCAGTACAAACACCCCCAAATTACCCCTTTTCAGAAAGTAGATATCCTAAGCTATTTTCTGAGAGGCATGAGTCCATGGAAGATTTATTTTTTTCTACAGGTTTTTGGAAAATTATATTTAAATGGTATGATTCTCACACATGCCATAGGTATGTTTGGAATTACACTCCAAAGTATATTCTGCTACTTCTCATGTGGGGATACCACATGGGAGTCTTTTTGGGAGCCTAGCCTCATACAGGAGCCCAAAATCCAATGACCCCTTTGAAAGCCTGATGGTGTGTAAATTCCTCATTTCACTTCCTCACTACCTATCACAGTTTCAGAGGCTTTGAAATTCCAGGATAGCACAAACCCCGAAAAATGACCCCTTTTTGGAAAGTAGACACCCCAGACTATTGGCTTAGAGACATGCTGAGTTAATGGAATACTTTACTTTTACCACAAGATTTTGGAAAATGACAAAAACAAACGTTTTTTTTTTTTTACACAAAGTTGTCAATTAAATTATACATTGCTCACACATGTGGAATTATACCACAAAATATATTCTGCTACTTCTCCCGAGTATGGGGATATCACATGTGTGAGACGTTTTGGGAGCCTAGCCACATACAGGAGCCTGAAATCCAATGACCACGTTGAAATCTGGAAGGTGTGTAACTTCCTCATCTCAATTCCTCCCTATAAACCACTCCATCACAGACTCGGAGGCCCTGAAATGCCAGGATAGCACAACCCCCCCCCCCCCCCCCCCATATGACCCCTTTTTGGAAAGTGCAGGAGAGGAGTGTGGAGTGTATGGTGGTGGGTAGTATGTGCAGGAGAGGAGTGTGGAGTGTATGGCGGTGGGTAGTATGTGCAGGCGAGGAGTGTGGAGTGTATGGTGGTGGGTAGTATGTGCAGGAGAGGAGTGTGAAGTGTATGGCGGTGGGTAGTATGTGCAGGAGAGGAGTGTGGAGTGTATGGTGGTGGGTACTATGTGCAGGAGAGGAGTGTGGAGTGTATGGTGGTGGGTAGTATGTGCAGGAGAGGAGTGTGAAGTGTATGGCGGTGGGTAGTATGTGCAGGGAGAGGAGTGTGGAGTGTATGGTGGTGGGTAGTATGTGCAGGAGAGGAGTGTGGAGTGTATGGCGGTGGGTAGTATGTGCAGGAGAGGAGTGTGGAGTGTATGGTGGTGGGTAGTATGTGCAGGAGAGGAGTGTGGAGTGTATGGCGGTGGGTAGTATGTGCAGGAGAGGAGTGTGTGGAGTGTATGGTGGTGGGTAGTATGTGCACCCAGAACATTCCCCATTCACAGCTCACCTCTCTGCACCTAGTAACCCCTGTGGAGGGTAGTATGTGCAGGGAGAGTGGTACAGAGTGCATAACAGCTGGTAGTATGTGTAGGGAGAGGGATACAGAGTATATTGTGGTGGGTAGTATATGCAGTGAGAGGGGTATGGAGTGTATGGTGGTGAGTAGTATGTGCAGGGAGAGGAGTGGGGAGTGTATATCATTATTTTCACACAAATAGAGCTTTCTTTTGGTGGTATTTAATCACCACTGTTTTTGCAATATAAATATAATATTTATATTGCAAAATATTATATTATATATTCTATACAATATCAATATTATATCAAATATGGCAATATAAATGAAAAAAGAGTTAACATTTTGAAAAAAAATAGCAATTTTTTTCTCTTTCTGCTATAAACCATATCTAAAACAAAAACCAATCAAATTTCTTCACAAATTTTGCCCAAAATGTATTCTGCTACATGTTTTTTGCTGAAAAAAAAATCCCAAGAAGTGTATATAGATTGGATCGCTTTAAAGTCATAATGCTTACAAACTATGGTATATGTACTGGAATTTTAAATTGTATTATTATAATGGGACTGGTGGGTAAGTGTGGTGGGCTAACTGACACTAATTAACGCTGAAGGGAACTGAATAACTGCCACTGACATCACCAGTGACATTAATACAGTGATCAGTGATAATACTATACACTGTCACTGTACTATTGACACTGGATGGGAAATGGTTAACATCTAGGGCGATCAAGGGGTTAAACATGTGCCCAACTATGTGTAACGTGTGTACAGTAGGCTGCTTTCACTAACAGATCTATGTTTCTCATCTCTGCTTTGCAGGTATGAGAAACTGACAGATCACTCCCTCTGTATCGAGCAGGGGAGGACTGACAACTCATGGGGCCCCTGGGCAATAGGGGATCATAAGGCCCCTGTGTCCTTGCCCAAACTCAAAAAAGCCTATGAAAAAGCTACCAGGGGCATCTCATGGGGCCCCCTACTGATCCTGGGCCCTCGGGCAGTGCCTGAGTTTCCAAATGGTCAGTCCGCCCCTGGTATCGAGCCCTGTGTTGTTCAGCCGATCAGCAGGTCCAGGCTGTGAATCATTGACCAGGACCTGTGTACAATGATAGCGGGTGCTGGCCGGGTGGGGGGGCATGCTCTCACCTGAAACCCGAAACCCAGAAAATAGGCAGTGATGTATGGGTATGTCGCTTTGCCTACAGCGGCCACCCTCCCGCAGTACATTGCAGGCGGGTGGTCCCCAAGTGGTTAAGTAATGGATTAGTAGTGTGTGTATATGTATTTTTTTTATTGCAAATGGTTAAAGATGTAGAAGAAACACTTTTTTTTGAACACACTATTTTTTTTGTTCAAGATGAACTCCTATACCTAGAGGGATGGAAAAATAGTTATTAAAATAATTAAATCCCTTTACTGTGTAATAAAACACCCCTGGGGATAGTACCATAAAAAAGCTCAAAGGAAATCAGTAGACTGCTATATAAAGCACACAAATACTGATTCATTTTTGCTGGCTGATATTTTGTGGTCTTCATTATTTGTGTGAAACTGGCATAAAAATTATTCAAAGCACCACAATTTCTATATTTTCTTTAACCAAAGTTTGGGTTTGTTGAGGAGGACACCATATTTATTGTAGAAAATTGGCTTGACAGGTATCAAGGTAAGACAACACACTGTCTTTTCCATTACATCTTTATTTTTTTTTTACTAATATCTTAGATAGTAGTAGTGCAAGTTCCTCCTCCTACATATCAATCCTCAGGGTTACAGCAGGCTCACTTTACCAGACAGTGTTGACCTAGTTAATACAGGTAAAGGTGCATTCAGATGTCCCCTCAGCTCTTGCAGTATGCTTCCCTCCCCTCAGCATGTCCCCTGCTGTTGATCTCATCCAAATTATTCTTTTGCTCAAGGTATAAAATCCATAAAAATATGAAATGCTATATAAACATTGCACCACATTATTGTTCTATGTGTTTCATCCTAGATGGACTTCTTCAGGAGCTCATGAAGATTCTGATGAAAAAGCTGTGAGATAGATAGATAGATAGATAGATAGATAGATAGATAGATAGATAGATAGATAGATAGATACTACAGTATTTTTTACTCAAAGTATAAATTCCATAAAAAATTAAATGCTGTTGAAAAATTACACTACATTATCGCTTCAGTGTTTCATCTTAGATGGACATCTTCAGGAGCTCATGAAGACATTGTGAGACAAGCATAGATATAGACGTGGAAGAGCAGACTCAAGATGCAACAGGAATAGTGAACAAACCATCCAGAACATTGGTATCCAAGCAGCAGAGACATGTGTCCAGGGATCTGCCGAAATGAGAGAAGCTTGTTGAAATAGCCAAGTGGATATCTGCATTCTCATACTATTCTAACACCATCTGGTAAGTGAGCCACACTGCTATGGATCAATGCTTAGAAGGATGAACATGCACTGAGTTGCTACAATAGTTTTGAAAGTTCATTCATTTGTTCCTAATGGCCCCAAAAATGTGTTCTTAGTTCTCTGTTATGATGATTTCCTGCAACCAGACAAGAATCACAGAGTTCATTCTGATGGGGATTCAAGGTTCTGAGAGTCTGAATTATGCACTTTTTGTTATGTTTTCTATCACCTACATTTTCACAATAGCAGGAAATTCCATCATTATTCTGCTGATTTTGGGATGTGACAAGCTTCACACACCAATGTATTTTTTTTTGTGTCATTTATCCCTTTCAGACCTCTTACTGTCTTCAAATGTGGTTCCATACCTGTTGTGTACCTTATTAAGTAAAGCCAGACCCATGCTGGTGAGTTCTTGTGTCACACAATACTATTTTGGTTGCTCCTCAACCATTTCTGAATGTTTTCTCCTGACGGCAATGTCTTTTGATCGATACGTGGCCATCTGCATTCCATTGCACTATAACACAATAATGGACATTAAGGTCCTTTCCCACCTTGTAGCTTGGTCTTGGTCGCTTGGGTTTCTTATCAGCCTGACCTCTATCATTCCAGTATCTCTTTTGGAGTTCTGTGGTTGCAATATCATTGACCACATCTACTGTGACCTTGCTCCTCTCCTTGCTGTGTCCTGTTCAGACACCTACTTCTTGGAAATGGAATCTATTATATTTTCTATACCTATTCTGCTTCTTCCCTTCATGTTTGTCATAGTGACTTACATTCGAATCTTCTCTGCTGTCCTGAAGATTTCCACCACCTTTGGAAGAAGGAAAGCCTTCTCCACCTGCAGCTCCCACATCATCGTAGTTACAATTTTCTATGGAACATTAATCTCTAAATACACAGCTCCTTCTTCTGGAAGTTCATTGAATGTCAACAAATTAATCTCCCTTTTATATATTGTGTTTACACCGCTACTGAATCCTGCCGTGTATAGTCTACGGAACCAGGAAATAAGGGAAGCTATACATAAATGGGTACATGTGAAATAACTAGATTGATTTTTTTGGGGTGGGGGAAAATGGGATGTTGTAATGTGGAACATTTTACTGTATGTTTTCCATGTAAACTGAAAATGCAACGTTAGTTAGGCCCATTCACATGGGGTGGAATCCGCTTGCTCAGTGGGGGATCTATCTGCTGATCCCTGGCTGAGCAGAGCAGAGTGGGCAAATGACAGGTCAGTATCCACCCTTCATAACACACAGCCTGCTCTGCTTTATGGGTGGTCAGATGTAAACGATCTGCCCAGAGGGAGGGGAACAGATCCCCTTCCATTTTTTTTCTCAGATCAGATTGGATGTAGACGGGTGTGAATGGATGCAAATCTGCTTACATCCGCTGCTCCATAGAGGAGAATGGAGGATTCGATTGGATCCTCCTGAAGAAAGGACAGGAGGACTAAATCAGACAGATTGTGTGAAAGGGGCATTAGGGCTAAGAATAATTTCAGCTTGACTGTATCCATTACCCATTATTAACCAGGTAGAGCAATCTTCTCTGTGATCAACCATTGTTCTCCATGAGTGTATGAAGGGATGATGATTCTCATTTAACCAAATCAAGTGATATTCAACTAAAAACCAAAAATGTAATATACTGCAGCTTACTAATTCTTAGATGTGGTCATTAGTTTCATTGTTTATCTTTTTTCCCTTTATTTTCACCTGGTGATCCAACCAGTAAAGCTGTTGTTTTTCAATTTCCTTAAACAGACCAAGATTTCTAGCAAAGTGGCAGTTAAAGGGTTAAGACAAATCTTTATCTCAAAAAGAATAAAAAAAAACTGTTGCTGTTAGTATTTAAAAAAATGTTAGCTAAGGTTTGGCTTTAATTTGTTTATGAAGTCTTTCTAAATATGCTGGTCCATCTAACACTACCCAATATACTGTAGCTGTCCAAATGTGTCTCTATTACCCTTCCATCCAGGATGGAGCCACTCCAAGACAGGAAGTGTGTTACTGAGAGATTGTTGAGAAATGGCAAAGTGAATTTTGTAGTTTTCTACCTTGGATGCATTCTGGTGTAGTGTCATGAATTAAAAAGTAATGGATGTGTGAGTCCACCAGCTGAAGGAAGCAGGGTTCTTTACCCCTGATGGGAGCAGGAGATTGTTGGTGATCACCAAATATTTAAGCTATGAAGGGGCTTACGGTAGGGCGGTCATGCAAACAGAGAGGTAGGGAGGTTGGAGATGGCTAGAGTCATGCAGAAACTGGGACCAGATCACAGTTTGGGATGTCCAGAAAACCCAGAGAGAAGAATCTAAGTATCTTGAGTGGAGTGTAGTACCAAGATTGGGGAGTTCAGAGCTGTCTTGTAATATTTGTCAATCTTAGGTACGCTAAGCCCCCCTTGCAATTTGTATAAATAGGAAGTCATTTATGTGCCCATATAAATTAGAAGATTTAATTTGGGAGATTATGGGACAGGACCCTTTTGGTAAGGGTTCCAAAGTAATATAAGATTTTGGGCAGTAGAGTCATTTCACAGCATTGATATCCCAGACAAGTTTGCAGAAGGGTGAATAGGGTATGAAGCAAGAATAGATGTTCAAGGTGAATGAAGTTGAGTAATGTGGGATAAGCTTTATCACTAAGTGATTCAGTGTTGAGGACATCCAAAGGAAGAGGAAATGCATGTACTGTAGATATGAGCTACTACAGTTGGATGGATGACGACATACAAGGCTAGGGACATAGTAGTAAAGTTAAAGTATACCTGAAGGCATAACTTTTTTTTTTTGTTTTGGATAGAGGTGAGATGGATTAGAACTCCTGTCAGTTTTTTATTGTTGTCTGTGTCCCCGTTTGGGAGATTCACCCTCTCTATTTGTCCTGTTTAGCATTATCATTGAAAGTGAAAGTAAAAGAAAATCCCAAATTTTGGGTTGCCCCCAGAAATGTAATAGAGGGAAAATGTTTCAATGGGGATACTAGTTCTGGTGACCTGGGGGTCCCCAAGAGATTCCCTTAATTTGCAGGGATTTCCTCTCACTTTCTATTTGGCTATGGGACTGGATGTGAAGGTAAATCCTCCAATGGAGCAAGAGGGCAAAAATAAACCTTACAGTGGTAATAACTCTCCCTTCCTCTATCCAAAATTAAAAAAAAAAGGTTGCGTATAGTTCTACTTTAATTTCAAACCCAGAAAATTGGGTGAATTGATCCAGCAAAAATTGGAGAGAAATAAAAGCAGATTGGTGAAAGTGATGAGAGCATCATCTTCACGGACACATGGGAGGAGGTTTACTAAAAGTGGAGCAGACAGAATCTAGTGCAATGTGCTTAGTAACCAATCAGCTTCTGGGTTTTAGGCCACTTTCACATGAGCAATCCGATTGGGTCCACCTGTCAGTTTTTCAGGCAGACTTAATGAGATGGTCCATGCATCCTTATGGACCAGAGGGTGTAAATGGACTTACACCCACCTACCTCCAGTCCTATCTGGTCCGCACAAAAAACAAAAGGGATCTGTTCCCTTCCGTCTAAGCAGATAAGATCAGAATGTAGGCAGTTGTAAATGGGCAGCCTATCCATTGACACTCGACCACCCTTACAGCAGTCTTGTCTATATTCCCATCGCACACTTTCCTGGAAACAGACCTCGTCAGTAGCGGGTGCTGCAGTGACTACCAGCTGTATACTGGACTCATCACGGATCAGTGTACATATTCGCCAGCACACCATGGATCACCAAATGTTGTTCAAAGTTTTTATTGCTGAAAGATCACATCACAATGGACCAAGTGCAATGTTGTGGAACGCCGCAGGATCCCTTTGGCAGGAATGTTTGATGAAGGGGTACTGTGCGGCTCCAGATCACTGTACTTGGTTCTTTTTTGATGTGATCTTTCTGCAATAAAAGCTTTGGACAACATTTGATGATCCATGGTGTGCTGGCGAATATGTATTCTCACCCATAGGGCATAGCAGGCGGCCTTCCTGTCAACTTTGTATTAACCAAACACTAGTTTTAGTAAACCTAAAGCATGCTGGGAGAAAACTAAAAAGGCTGGGACTGATGATCCAGAGAAAGGTTGGAGTACAGAGGTCAGAGACCCAAGCCAAGATGGACTCTTCAAAACCCCATATTTGAGATAGGCCCAGGATAGGAAATAAGTTTTGTAAATGCAAATGGATAAAAGTTGGCTAAGGATCTTATGTTGTTGTATTGTATGGATAAGATGTACTAGGCAATTGACATTGTCTCCAGCTTCTAATAAAAAAAAAAAAAAGTAGCCGCACAACAAAAACCTAATTAATTATTTTAGTGCATGTATAAAAGTAGGCCAGCACACTTTGTGTATCACCTCATAGAAAATAAATACCGTAGTATAAATATATTAAATTCTGTACAGTGCTATTACCTTATAGTGAATTTGTTACAAACACATATTAAAAAAGAAGAAGCATGTTACCAAAAATTCATAACATGGCGAACATAGTGAATAAATAATAGGTCAGTAAAATAAACATGCTTAAAAAAGGCCGTGTAGTGACAAATCCACTCATGAAAACAGTAATCAGCTTCTTCCAACACCACCATAGAATCTGTTCACCTTACAAATTGACCTCAAAATCATAGGAGGTTTAACCAGGCATTTTTATATATCACAGAACATAGGAAAATGGGGCTTAAGCCCAGAGGGTCATGCATTTCTCTGCTCTTTTAGGGATCATTGCTACATAAGCAGGGGCGGACTGACCATTTGGAAACTCGGGCACTGCCCGAGGGCCCGGGGTCAGTAGGGGGCCCCATGAGATGCCCCTGGTACCTTTTTCATAGGCTTTTTTGAGTTTTGGCAAGGACACAGGGGCCCCATGATTCCCTATTGCCTGGGGGCCCCATGAGTTGTCAGTCCGCCCCTGTACATAAGCTTGGAGAAAGATCGATGGTGTGAGTGATCTGTTCTTGAAGGAACTGAAAATATTCTTTAGATGGGTTTCAGTGTTAACAGGCTGCTGTGAAACTATCTGGGCCTGGGGCCTTAGAGGAAACCACTTTCTGTTCATAGAACAAACCCAAGAATCCTTCTTTGGGAAGGATGATATCTTGGTGATTGCTGCAGCTGCAGTGATAACGGAGATATCATTCTTTAGAGCCAGCAATTCTGTAAAAAGTAAAAGTAACCCATTACTTTTACAGATGGTGGAAGGGCGTCCACCCCTGACCACCACCACTGTTGCCTTTACTGGGATTTTCCTCTGCCATTTGGTGGGATCAGTCTCCGGGCACACAGTGAGAGGAACAGATGTCTTTCCTCCAGGGGCGGACTGACAACTCATGGGGCCCCCAGGCAATAGGGGATCATGAGGCCCCTGTGTCCTTGCCCAAACTCAAAAAAGCCTATGAAAAAAGTACCAGGGGCATCTCATGGGGCCCCCTACTGACCCCGGCCCTCGGGCAGTGCCCAAGTCTCCAAATGGTCAGTCCACCCCTGCTTTCCTCCCAATGTGTGACATCAGAAACGAGAAGTGACAAGGATTTTGTCATTTCCAGTGTCGGTCTTCTATTTCCCGGCCATTACCAGATTGGGAAAGCTTTGGATCGAACCAATCTGGGTTTGATCCAAAGCTTTCAAGGACAGAGGAAACATTTGGGGTTTAATAGACCCCAGATGACTCTGCAAAGAGGACCTGTTGTTGCCTAATGTTATCCCAAGGGGTATTTGCATTCCTTGTGTATAGTAATAATAAGTAAACAAACAGTGCAAAAATAAAGAAAAAATAAAACTTAAACAAAAAAATTAAAGCATCCCGATCCCACCGTGCTCGTGAGCAATGGCGAATGCATGTATCCTCCCGCACGCATATGTAAAGGCAGTTGCAGCACACGTGTGAGGTATTGCCATGAATGTCAGAGCGTGAGCAATTATTCTAGCCCCAGACGCCCTATGTAACTCTACACTGATATCCTTTAAAGGCTTTTAATATGTCCCCTATGGAGGTTTAAAGTGCGGCAGTTTGGCACCGCTTTGAAGGCCTGCACA